TATCCAGATTATAACACAGGTCATTGGTCCATAAATTGATACATAATATCGAGAGTAACAGAAGGTTGACACTATTTCTATGCCTTCGTCTCGTCAAGATAACGAATGATGAAAGGATCGACTTGTATGGTAACCATATCGTTGACAGGTAGCAACTTTGCTGAATCTGAATCTATCGGGTGGCCATGATGCCTTGCTAGGTGTCAATCTTGGTATGTGTATTAGTGAGACGATTAATTGGTATTAGTCGCAATACTATACACTACCGGTATAATGAGGAGCCTATGGGTCACACACATAGAAGATAATTTAAGACTCAGGAAGAAAGAAGGGTGTTTTCATCTTTTTAGGTGAAAAGGTACTTTTGGTAATTTCACAGTGCAATTAAATTTGTTGAGGTCGTAGCCTTTATTTAATTTATTAGAAAAATTAAATAAGTGAAATTACGTTTAAATATGTGTTCGCATATATTTAATTAAATCATCATTATTGTTAAATGTTAATATATATATAGATATAGATTAAATATATATTAATTGATTTTAATTGAGATAATGATGAAATAAAAATAAATATCTAATTAGGAGTGTTTGGTAACATGGGGCGTTTGGGTTGGAGCTCAAGCCTATTCCATATGGGAATAGGGCAACTAAGTTTTCACAATAAAAGAAAATGGTTATTTGTAAAATGTGTGTGATTTTCATTTAGTTTATTTTTCTTTGAAAAGGCACAAACACAGCAACCCCTTAAACACTCTCCCACGACAGAATTCATTTTCGCCTAAAATCAATTTCATTGATTTTTCTTCTTGATCTTGAAGCTAAGGAGGATCTAGCAAATCCCTCCTTAGTTCTTTGTGATTGTCTTCGTGTGGACTGCGTGGGTTTGATCCTACACTTGGGTCGGTAGCAAAAACGTTCATTGACAAATTTGGAGGAGCCTCCAAACGTGCATATGTTTTTCTAAACTCATGATTAATTTCTGCAGATTTCTATTTTAACATAAACTATGAAATTGTACTTTTGATCTTGGCTCAATGGGAACGATCCTTGTTATTATGATTTTGTTTTCCGCTGCGTATATGGACCATTTCCTAATAGTTCCTTCAACTTATCAAACACCTTTTTACATGCCTCATTAAGCTCAAAAACCACATCCTTTTGTAGCAACTTACATAGAGGTAATGCTATTTTGGAGAAGTCCTTGATGAATCTTTGGTAAAAACCTGCATGTCCAAGAAAAGAACGAACTTCCCGCACACTAGTGGGATAAGGTAAAGATTGAATAATATCAACTTCGGCTTTATCTACCTCAATTCCCCTAGATGAAACAACATGACCCAAAACTATACCTTGGTCAACCATAAAATGACATTTTTCAGAATTTAATACAAGGTTAGTTTCTATGCATCTTTGCAGAACAAGTGTAAGGTTATGCAAATAATTATCAAAGGAGTCTCCATTAACTATGAAATCATCCATAGAGACTTCTATGATATGCTCAATATAATCTGAAAATTTGCTAACCATACACCTTTGGAAAGTGGCTGGGGCATTGCAAAGGCCAAAGGGCATGCGGGGATATGCAAAAGTTTCGAATGGGCATGTAAAAGTCATCTTTTCTTGGTCCTCCGGAGCAATTGCAATCTAAAAATAACATGAATAACCATCAAGGAAACAATAGTAAGAATGACTAGCTAACTTTTCAAACATTTGATCAATAAAAGGGAAAGGGAAGTGGTCCTTGCGGGTTACAGCATTTAATTTTCTATAATCTATACAAACCCGCCACCCATTCTGAACACGAGTAGGAACTAACTCATCATTCTGATTTTTCACAACAGTTATTCCGGTCTTTTTAGGAACCACTTGAACAGGGCTAACCCAATTACTATCTGAAATAGGATAAGTCACTCCAACTTCAAGAAGTTTGAGGATCTCCTTTTTCACTACACCCATCATGGGCGGGTTCAATCTTCTTTGCGATTGACGGAAAGGTTTTGCTCCTTCTTCAAGCAAGATATGATGCATGCATGGAGACGAGCTAATTCCTTTAATATCCATAATTGTCCAACCAATAGTCATCTTATGCTCCTTAAGGACCTGCACAAGCTTTTCTTCTTGCGATGCACTGAGTTTACTGGAGATGATCACTGGTGACGTTCCTCCGTCTCCAAGGAACACGTACTTAAGGTAACTAGGGAAAGGTTTCAAATCTGGAATAGGGGCCTGCAAAACAAAAGGTAAAGGCCTCTCATTAGAAATTGGTAATGCAATATAAGGAATGTTACTTGACTACTGTAACTTTGGAAAATCATTCAATGCTGCAACAGTTTCCTACAAATTAGTACTCAAGGCTAACTCCTCATTCTCTTTCTCAAGACGCTTACTAATGGTAACTTCCTATCCATCTTTTCCATCAAGTTCAAAAACTTTCTGTGCTAAAGAATCAATCACATCAATAGAATAAACAGGATTATCATCATCATTACCATCAGGATATTTCATGGCATCATAAATATTAAACTTAACAATTTCACCATCAAATTCCATGGTAAATGTGCCATTATAAACATCTATCTTAGTTTTGGATGTTTTTAAGAAAGGTCTTCCTAACAAAATATGAGCAGATTGATCACCATTTTCCATATCAAGCACATAGAAATCAGTAGGGAAAACTAAATCATTAACTTGTACCAAAATATCCTCAACTATACCCTTAGGATAGGCATAGATCTATCAGCTAATTGAATCACAACACCAGTTTTATTCAAAGGTCTAAGTTTCAAAGAAGCATATATAGAATATGACATGACATTGATAGAAGCTCCTAAATATATCGTGGCCTTCTCAAATATAGTGTTACCTATTGTACAAGGGATAAACATACTTGGATCTTTGCACTTCGCAGGGAGCTTTCTCTGAATAACTGCAGAAACATTCTCTCCTACTCTCACCTTTTTACACCCTTTAAGTTTATGTTTCCT